GATGGGTACAAGGATTGCAGGACCTTTAACGGGCCACATAACAGTTTGGCGGAGTCAACGGTAGGCCTGCTTTGCAATCCCACTTATTCTTGGCCCAATTCTGCTTCGTCTCCTTCACTGTCACTTATTAGTCTGTAATAAATACCATATAACCTCACCTCTGCCTCAGCATCATCTGCTTCTGCAACTGCGGTAATAATCTCAGGAAAATTCTGTTGAAAGATCATTTCCAGAAAATGGCAAAATGACTCTGATACAGTTATGATAGTGAACATATGTTGAAGAACTTATTTTACTCATGATATGAGGCAGAGGCTACAAGTGATTCAAAGGAAAAGTCAAAACAGTATGAATTAATATATAATTAAAGTATGTCAAGATGAATTGCAAATGGAGACAAAACTAGCTTTTCCACAGGGTGGAGGAAATGAATGAAAGCGTTTCTGGAAGAGACAGAATGTGCAATTATCAGCTACCTACAATTCATTTTTAAAAATTGCAAAAAATAGCTCAATCACAATGAATAGGATTAGAATTTGATGACCTAGAAAGAGTATAGTATAGAAGATGCATAGTTTCTCGTTGAAACACATTTTTTTTTTTTGGCACATCTCTTATTTGCAAAAGTGTCTTCCATCCAACCTCCCTTTTACTTTCAATAGAAATAACAGAATCTAGTCCGCAAATTCTGTTGAGATTTTGGCACACGTAGATGAAAAATATTTTATAAAATTCCCGATAGTAATGTATTAAATAATAAGAAAAACTCATCAAAGCTTTAAATAGCTATAAATGACTATCATTAAAAATTAAACATAATATTAGTCTAATACTTTCCTTATTCTTCAAACATAAGCTTTGTAATAGAATCATGAACCCAAGTATATTTATTTGAACAATAAAAAAACATCATGGTCAAATTTAGTGTGTTGTAAATACTTATATGTTGACTAAAATAGAAAATATGCAATACAGAGACATAATCCTAATACTATTGTCAATGTGTTGGTGACCTAAGAAGGTGGTTTAGAAATGTATAAAATTATGTCCAACCAGACATCTTTTCGGGGCCCAATGCATTTGTTTCTTGCAATACTGTTACAAATTCGCAAATGAGAACAGTTTCTGGTGGGTTTCTCATTTTCAAGTTCAATTTTAAAAGTACAAATTCTGCTATAATTAAAACTGTTGGAGAAAATATAAGGTCTTAGAAGTTTGTGGACCTTAAAATTGAATTTTATTAGGTCGCAAATTGTTCATAGTGGGTATTTTCTTCGTATGTTTTGTAATGATAATGCTTAAATTTTCCAATTCAAATGTTTGAAGTGTGACAATAGATTTTAAATGATTGATGTGAGTAATTTTAAATGTGTTTAATATTTTAAGGGTGCTATTTATTCCTCAAATCCAGTGATGTGTATGGGTGGTTATTTGTACAATTCTTTCACATTGAATGGAAGAATAGAGTTCTTTGTATTCAAGAAGATATTTGGAAGCCTGTTCTAAAGATATAAAATTGCTCTCGGAAAACACGAACAGAAAACAGACTGTATTGTTCTTCCTCAAAAAGCACAAAAGGCAATCAAACAAGTGAACCAGAATATGGTAATTATTGAGAATGTTGATGGTACCCTTAAGATTAAGCCACAGAAGATAAATGCTTTTCTGGGGATGAATTTTCTGAAAAATCTATTAAGTGGGGTGGAGGAGAGGATGGCCCACTTCTACTTCTACCTTGCACAAAACAGTCCATTTGTGTAATCTAACAAATCATCTTTCTTGATTTTGCTTATAGAACATGGACAGTAAAATGAATTACCAAGGAGATAACAAATAGACATGAGGAACACACACAAAATAATGCAGGTAAAATGAAGATAATAAAGGTGCTATTTCTGGGAGAGCGCTGGCATGTCAGGGTTTGAAAAGAGAAAAACATGTGCCTTCCCTGTAGTCTGCAAGGCAGCCTCTGACAATGAAGATGAATTAAAGACTCAGGAAACTAATGCCCTTGATGTTAATTCCGTTACAGTTCTCTTTCTTTCAGAAACTCCTTAGAGATCAGATGGATGAGACCTAATCTTTATTTCATGTTTCTGTAACTTTAAAATAAATTTCTCTCTGCTGCTTCTCAGATAATGACAATAAATCCATAACGTGAATACTGAGAATGCTAGATTTTGAAAGAAAGAAAGCCAAAAGTTTTATTCTAGATTAATATATATCTTTGAATCAGTAATTTAGGGGCTAAACAATCACATAAGAATTTACACTTGCAGTATTAGAGTGGGGGATAACTTGCTGGGATGTGAAGTACCCTTGCAATGGTCTCAGATGGTGCTTTCTGGTTAACTGACTCTATTAGTGATGAAAACACCAAGTCAGCGCTTCGCTGGATTATATAATATTGTGACTATTTTAAACTGCCCTCATTCTTTTTAGTTTTCCAACACTCCTACTTTTGACAAAACCGAGCATGTTGGTGTGAATGCTTATGTCCTCCTCAAAATTCATACATTGAAATCCTGCCCCCTAAGGTAATGGCATTAGTTGGTACCCCTGGGAGGTGATTAGATCATGAGGGTGGAGGTTCATGAATGGGATTAGTGACCTTATACATAGAGGCCTCCGAGAGTTTGCTGATCCCTTCAACCTTCTATAACGGAGAAGCGGGCCCTCACTAGACACTGATCTTAGACTTCCAATCTCCAGAAATATGAAAAATAAAAATCAGTAGTTTATAAGTTACCCAGTATCTCATATTTTTGTTACAGCAGTCCAAACAGACTAGGAAACCAAAATATTTCCGTTTAAAATATAGAAACAACCACAATATAATCTCACTCTTTAAAACAGTAGGGCAATACATTTTAACAATTATTTCGTACTTGTAGGAAACCCCCTTGAAAAGTCCCTTTCTTTAAAAACGAAAAAGCACGGGGATGCATGGGTGACTCGGTTAGGTGTCCGACTCTTGATTTTGGCTTGGGTCATGATCTCAGGATTGTGAGACAGAGACCTGTTGGGCTCCATACTGAGTGTCTGAATGTGGAGCCTACTTAGATTCTCTATTCCTTTCCCTTTCCCCTCCTTGCCCACTCTAAGATGCCCCACTTATTGCAGGTGGGTGTTTATTCCAGGTGATGCACTCAGACTATTCCAAGCCTTCTGTAAAACTTAATTAAATTTCGAAGCTCAGTCTTAGTTGTCGCATGGTGAGTGCTGTCTTCAGCTTGGGGTGTGATCCTGAAGACATGGGATTGAGTCCCACGTTGGGCTCCCTACATGGAGCCTGCTTTTCTCTCTGCCTGCATCTCTGCCTCTCTCTCTCTCTCTCTCTCTCTCTGTGTCTCTCATGAATAACAAATAAATAAATAAATAATAAACAAATAAATAAATAATCTTTAAAAAAAAAAAAAACCCATGGGAAAAAAGCTATGCACAGAGTCCGTACCTGCAAAGTGTGGTTTGGTTTCACCAGTATGAAACTGCATTTCTAAATTTTACAACACTGGCTCAACTATTTGACCAGAGTACAATGCCTGGCTGGGATGATGGACTGTAGGTTTATCTTCTTCCTTCCAGGTAAAATATTCTCATCATTGTGAGCTCATCAAGACACACATGATGACTAATATCACACATCCAAGACCCAGGTTATTCAGCTTTTCATAACACAAATCTTAGGACAAAGCCTACTTACTCTAGCCCTTCTCTGAGTGTGGTACAATTCCTTATTGTACTGTTTGTTCCACTATGAGTAGAAAATAGCCCTCCTATGCATTCATATTATGGATTTAGACCATTCTATCTTTTGAGGACATTCCTGGGTGAAAACAGAAGGATTTCCCAAGAACAAATCACAATCTTCACATACAGGTCAACCTAAATTCAAATTTAAGTAGAAAATATTTTCTAAATATTCAGGGATGCACATGATCTACATTTATATGTGAATTCAAGCCATGTGGTTTGAAATCAGCTCACCAATATTCAGAGCTTGTAATGACAATGCATAGGGAATTGCTTTATCATACGCTATTGGCTATCATCAAAGAGTTGTTTTTAAGAACTAAATAGAGAACATCCCTAAAGATATTTCAGTGTTCACTATAAAGAGCTAGAACTATTTACGAATTCCTCCAAACACAATTTTTCTGGTCCAAATCCATTCAATTTAATCTACCCAGTTAAACACATTTGACTCTACACACAACTGAGCCACTTAAGGTCTGAATTCTTATGTTTTTATCTTTGTGCTCTAGCATCTAGTCAGTGCCTAGCTGCAATATTTTATAAAAGCCTGAGTGAAGAAAGAAAAGAATTACCATTAAGTAAAGTTCAACCAAACAATAGCTTCATGACAAGGGTCAATTATTTAATGAATCAAAGTCTCAATTTTCATCACCTACACATATTCCATACAATACCACCTGTTTGATAAGTTGTCATTATAAAGGAGAGCTTATGTTATTAGTACTGTTGTTTTATTTTTTTATTTATTTTATTTTAAATTTTTATTTATTTATGATAGTCACACAGAGAGAGAGAGAGGCAGAGACATAGGCAGAGGGAGAAGCAGGCTCCATGCACTGGGAGCCCGACGTAGGATTCGATCCCTGGTCTCCAGGATCAGGCCCTGGGCCGAAGGCAGGCGCTAAACCGCTGCGCCACCCAGGGATCCCTAGTACTGTTGTTTTAAACAAAGGAAATGAATATGCTTAGGGGTAGATTCATATGTAGTGGGTTCTAGTCGGGCAATGGAGAATCAGGCTGAGAAAAGTGTCTAGGAATCAGTAAAATCAGTTACTCAGGTATTAAAAGAACCCATAGTGAGGAAACCCCACAAACATGATGGCAGATGGTTGACTGTAACTCTGATTCAGAAAAAAAAAATACAAAAAAAAAAAAAAAAAACAGTGTAGCCAATGATATCCACACATTGTTACGGAGTCTTAAATATTCTTTTTTTTTTTATTATTGTATAGCAATAGGCTCACCTTTTATGTTAGTAGACCTCTGAAGGTGGTCTTCTCGAAAGGCTTTCACTTGCAGACAAGCCTCAGATACCAGGTCTGTCATAATCTTTGTAAATTTCAGACTGTTTTTTCAGGCCAATTTTCATAGACCTACAAAATTTCACAGATGGTAATAGTGATAGATGATGTTTTTAAAAACACATGTTGACAGGAGAACATTTCTTTATGTCACACATATTGTGACATTTCTTTATGTCACACATATTGCCTCATTCTACTTTCCTCTTAGAAATGTCCTATAAACATCTAGGATAGAGATGGGTGACTGGGTGATGGTGACACACCAATGCTAATATATTTAATGCCAGTGAATTGTATGCTCAAAATGGTTGCATGGGTAAGTTTTATATTATGTATATTTTACAATTTAAACAAATAGATTGTGGGAGTATATGATTGCGCTAAATAATGAAGCCAAATTTATTTTTATTGCTTAAATACTGGATTAGTTCATTTAGGGGTAAGAGAGACAAAAGAAAGCATCAGCCAGCTTTAACCTTACAAGATGAAGCAATTGGGCTTTTTGTCTGTTTTTAGAGCTAATATGGGTCCTTGAATTGCTACATGCTTCTGGCTGAGATGCAATAATACTTTAGATGAAGGGTTCCTTTGAAGAGCTATGAAATTTTTGGTTGTTGTATGCCAAAACAGTTTTAAAGGCCAATATTTTTGCTCATCAAGAGCTGTAGGGACCAGGTTCAGTTGATATTTTTGAATGCAAAGAAAAATTAATGCTTGAGTGGAAAACTATGCATTTCTAACATTCTAGAGGAGACCTCTTTGGGTTATCTTATTCTGATTCTATGGAAGCTATTTTGCAGCTATGTATAGATAACTCATAACAATGCAAAATAATTCTTGTCTGTAGACATACAGATTCTTTCCTGGATAAAGGTTTAATTGATTCTACTCATTCTTCTCCATCTTGCAGAAAAACAAGTTTGCATCCATCTGCATATTTATTTCAATATTCCTTATCTATTAATATGTCTAAGCTTTGGATTTTTGTCAGGCTGAGTTATAACATCTGCCAGGTTTTCTCATTGATTACAAGCCAAATAACATCCTTAACACCTGTTCATTTTTATATCCGTATGAGAATCATGATTTTATCTTTCTCGAAAGTTGACTGTTAACAAGAACAAATGAAGAAATTTGTTTTCCTTTAGACGTAAGGGAGAGAAAACAAGGAAGTCTTTAAGTTTGTCATTTATCCAGTCCTGTGTATCAGTAGAAAAAGATTCACATCAGGAAATTGATTCTGTAATAAAGATTATTTTATTGACAGAAGTTTATCTATAATGACTAGTTTTCTCAAATTTTTGTTGCTTCTGGAGTGCTTTTTCAGTCAAAAATTTATACCATGGCTCATCCATTACTAAAATTCAAAAGATTATCTAAAATGAGCCATAGGTAGCATTTTTTTTTTCTATGGAGAATTCCACAGCTTATTAAATAAGTTAACTGAAAAAAAAATGTCTGGTACAGATTTTGACAGCAGCTAGTTAACGAAAATTCAAACTATTTTCAATAAAATATAATTTAGTGTGTTTTAATTCTAAAGAAAACATATTGCTACTTTTCTCATCTAAACATTTATGGCTGGTGCAAGTGTGGGCCCATGCGTGCAGAGAGCAGAGCGCACGGGGGAGATGTTTTTTAAATCACTGAATTTCGAAAAACATGCATTAGCTTCAACAATGTCTTTAATAAATACTTTTGGGATGGATTAATATTTCCTTACAAATGTAAAAAGAAAGTCAAGGTACTACTGAATACATCAAGGAGAAAAAAAGTCTACAATATGTGTTTTTGAAAAACTCAAAAATCTGTTTACCTGAATATCTGAAAATATTTAAAGGCTGGCAAACACTTGTAAATATGTCTAGTAACAGTATGCTTTTATTCAAGAGAGCTGGAGACAGTGGTTGAGCTTGTTAATCTTCAAGATAATCTAGTGACCTTGTTCATCAGCTGTGCCATAGGGAGAACCCTTGCCCGGCTCTTTCATTCTCCCCATTTCTCCAAGATAGGTGTGGTAGGGTTCTCTAAGGAAACACAACAAATAGGGTTTAGATATAAATACACACATAGACGTATATATACCAACACTCATGCACGCACATGTATCATATGCATAACTGTAGCAGAAGATATCATACAAGGAATTGACTTATATGATTACAGAGGCTGACAAGTCCTAAGATATGCGAGTGGAATCCCAGGAGAGCTGAAGGCTGGCAGCCTGGAGACCTCGGAAGAGCCAATATTTCAGTTAGAGTCTGAAGCAAGAGAGAACTGATGTTCAGCTCCAGGACATTAGGCAAAGCAAGTTCCCTCCTACTTAAAGGAGGTTCAGCCTTTTTGTTCCATCCAGGTCTTGATGGGACTTGAGGAGATCACCCACATTTAAGGGGAACAGTCCCTTTTCTTCAGGCTACCGCTTCAAACATTGATCTCGTCCAGAAACACCCTCCTTAGAGGCACTCGGGGATAATGTTTACCCAAGTACCTGGGCATCCCTTGGCCCAGTTAGGTTGATGCATAAAATTAACCATCACAGTAGGGTTGGCAAGGCTCAGGGCCTAAGAGAATTTGTGTTAACGAAACTGCTTAAAAGCATAAAGTTCAAACTGTTGGCAAGTTGAATTTAAATAAATAAATAAATAAGATAAATAAATAAATAAATAAATAATTTAATTAAAATTTTTTAAAAAAGCAAAGTTGAACAAAAATCAAAATGGCCGTACTAATGCTTCAGCGAAGCTGGATTTTAAACTTTTTCTTCTCTTCCATAAATCGTCCCTCCTCCCTTCTTAGTCTTTTGTTCAGGAACCACCCTTCTCCCCTGAAAAACCTGACAATTGAGTCTGGCAGCACTTTCACAATTCCTGTCAAACCCCGCTAGACCCTGTATATCCTAGAGCCCTCCAGGCCTTTCCTCCATGTGGGCCTTTGGTAATGAAGCTCTTGGCCTGCTACAGCCTCCTTTGCTCAGTGGCCAACATAGCTATTGTTCCTCTTTAGACCAAAACTCTAGTCTTCGAGTTACCCATTTGGCTCTGGAGCACAGAGGTCAGTTTTTGACAACATTAGCACATCTATGTGTTCCCATGTTCTTTCTCTTGTTAAAACAGGTCTAGAATATTCATTTGCACGCACAGAGTTTTCCCAAAGTTATCTTCTGGATATTCTAACACGTTTTGATGGTCAGGGTTTGGAGGGTAAGTAGAATCTATCGTTTACCCATTTACATTTTACATGGGATTTTGAGTATAGAAAGGTACATTTGTTTTCCTGTTATTTCAGAGTCTCCGGGATCTCTTATTGCAATGATTCTAGAAAATGCTGACAAATAAAGTAGCCCCTCAACTGGAAAATGATGTGAAGAGAGCAGAAAACATGCGTTTCCTCCTATAAGTGGAGAATTGGGGTGGAAGGACAGAGTATATTGATGCAAAGAAGGCTGAAAGAATGAGAATCGTATCTATAGTACATCTCAATATTATAGGGAGCATCCTAGGAACTTTTCATAAATTGAATCATTTAATTCCCATAATAACTCTATTTGGTAGGTCTTGTCATTCCTGGTTCACAGAGAAAGCAGCTTGTAAGAAGCACAGTTAGAATTGCTCCCCTGGCTTGTTTGATTTCAAAAACACTATGTTCTTCCCATTTCATCAAGTAGCCTCACCACATCTACAGCTTCGGTCTTCTCACTTTTTTTTCCTTTGTCAAAAAATCAAATATGGAAATCACATAAAAGCTGAATTTTAATGTGTCTATTACCTTTTCTATGTTTCATGATCATGCAAGCTATCCTTTAATTTGGAATATTTAACATGTGAATGTGTATCATCTGTAGAGTATGTATGTGTGTGTGTATTTATGCCCTAAACATGGTTGGTAAACTCGGTGGTTGTGAATAGAAGCTGGCCACCAATAGATTGGTGAAATTAAGATTTTTGACTTAAAAACTGAGGAACAGAACTTGTATCCATGGTGACTCCACGAATGTGCCAACACCTGGCAAAGCTCACTCGGAAACATCTTGTCAGCTTCTTTCAGAAATGCACAGAGAAAAGAGAAACAGGATAATAAGAAATCCATTGAAAAGCAAGTCGTGAGTAATAGAAGTTAAGAAAATACAGTTAAACATATTTGTTTCCCATGTGTAAGTCACCGAGGAAGCAGAGATGAACAAAATGTGATCCCTGCCTCAAAGAGCTAATATTTTTATGAGGAGAGAGAAGCATGTATAGAAATCACAATGCACATCAACCGTCATGGGTGCTTTAAGTAAAAACACTAAGGGTGAAGGGTTTATTGATGGGAAGAACTCAGATCAGGATTTGAATGAGTGGTAATATTTCTGAGGGGGCATTGACAGGTGAGGGCAGTGAGGAATAATGTGATTAAGTGCCCCGAGGTGGACGTGAGTCAGTCAGGAGTGCCACACGTTACGGTTGAACCCAAGCCACTACTCCACCTACTGATGGCATGTTTAGAATTTTAAAGTAACTTATTCTACAGGCATCAATGACCTTTACATTGGCTAATCTCAATGGATGTGTTTCAGTTATTAATCTGATATGTCAGCAGAAAATAGGGCTGTTGGGATCTCTGGGTGGCTCAGTGGTTTAGCGCCTGCCTTTGGCCCAGGGCGTGATCCTGGAGTCCCGAGATCGAGTCCTGTGTCAGGCTCCATGCATGGCGCCTGCTTCTTCTGCCTGTGTCTCTGCCTCTCTCTGTGTGTGTCTCTCATAAATAAATAAATAAATAAAATCTTAAAAAAAGAAAAAGAAAATAGGGCTGCTAATCACTTCCTGCACCTAGAAAGTCTTCCTTCCTTTAGCTTCTTCGACTCTTTGGAATCTGAAAGTCTTTTTTTGAATCAATAGCCACTCTCAAATCCTGTGTCCATCACGTCTCCTCTGAGCTCCAGTGTCACCACTGAGAGGTTCTAGTGGCAAGTAAAAGTCACAATACCTGAAACTGAAAGTAAAGTTATATCGTTTTCCCCCTCTACCATGGTAAGCCTGGGATTACTCCAGTGTTCTTTTTCAAAGCAAATAACATGATCACATCCAACTAGTTGCTAAAATCAGAAATTTAGGAGTCATCCTTGATACCTCTCTCTCCCTAACACCACTAGGTCCAGTATATCCAGATCCATGTTAATGTTCCCTTCAATTACCCCTCAAAATCCACATCTCTCTCTCTCTCCCTGTTTCACTACTCTTCAGTCAGAACATACATTCCATCTTTCTAAGGAATTTGCATGTGCAGGATATATCATTTGGCATTTTCTTTCCACCCATCCCATAGTTATAACCACTCTTATTTTCAGACCACAGCTCAACTACAAATTACTTGATGACAACATTTATAATCCTTCTCATTAGGTCCTTTTTCTGTTACATCTTATCACAAACTCCTGTAGTTTTAACACACAACTGTACTATAAAGATCAATCTCGTAATTCTTTATTAACTTAGTTTATTTATTTATTTTTATTTATTTATTCATGAGAGATACAGAGAGAGAGAGAGAGAGAGAGAGGCAGAGACACAGGCAGAGGGAGAAGCAGGCTCCATGCAGGGAGCCCGATGTGGGACTTGACCCCGGGACTCCAGGATCACGCCCTGGGCCGAAAGCAGACGCTAAACTGCTGAGCCACCCAGGGATCCCATTAATTTAGTCCATTAATCACAGCTAGATTGGAAGTTATCTGAGAGTGGGGACTATCTGTCTTGTGCTAAGACATAATAGAATTTAAATGTATATTTGATGAATGAATGTCAGAATAAACTAATAACTGAACTAGAGGCAGGGAGGCTAAGAAAGTAGGCAGTAATCTAGGCTTGTACTAAATGCAGAAAGAGTTGGATTGGAATGTATGGTAAAGTTTTGAGAAATGGTAAACAAAATACAATTAATAAGAATGATTGTTTTTTGGATGTAGGGATTTAGGGAAAGGGAGAATCAAGAACTAAATTTCAGGGTTATCTGAGTTTATTGATTGACTGTCTAGTGTAAGAAGTGTTTAGGGCTGAGGCTAGACCAGGGAATGCTAACAGAAAGAGGATGGGGACAGTGGCAAAGGGGAACCAAGAAACCAAAAAAAAAAAAAAAAAAAAAAAAGAGGGAAGAGAAAGTCTCTGTGATGAATAATATAAATACCTTGTTCCTTATCAAAATTCTAATTCATATAATATAGATTTGTGGATTTCTATTTTATTCAGAGGATTATCATACATTAATATCATTTATTTTGAGGCTCCAATTGTCCCAGATATGAGCAGTGGGAGTCATTTCATCTGGCTTCTGTGCCCTTCTGACAGTTCCCTGTTACTCTTTGAACATTTCCTTTCTTTCTGGCACAGCAATGTGTTTTAGATTCATCTTGTACTTTTTTTCCGCCTTGTTGAAATCAACCTTCTTTCTTTCTGTCTTTCTTTTCTTTTTTAAAATTTTACAAGGAGTCCTGGTTCCTTTTAGTAGAGAATGATATTAGAAATCCAGATCTGAGAGCTAGATGAACACACACAGACACATATATACAATGTATGTATATGTGTACATATATACACATATTTATATCTATAGCTCTACCTACCTACCTACCTACCTACCTACCTAAACCATGAGCTAACACTGATATCTCCAAATTCTAACACCATAGGGTTTCTTCTAGTCTCCTTTATCATATCATTGCCTCTCACCATTGGCCGTGAGAAATCAGACTCTCATTATTCTTAAAATAATTATTAATTTTATCAATCTCTATGTATGTAACTCCTGGCCTGTATATAATCTCCTGCCACTTTCACCCGTCCCTGTGCAAATGCTACCTTTTCCCTACTGGGGTTATGACACTCTTCACCAGGCCAATGCCTGCATGGAAGCCCTCTCAACTTCTCTTGGGCTCTGACAGCGTGAGCTGGCTACCTCTCTATGCAAAAGCCCTCCTCACTCTGCTGCAGTTCCCTCATTCA